GGGTTTATGAATTAAGATACCACAGGCCGCATGACACAGCCAAAAAAAAAAAGAAAAAAACAACAACAACTGAGGATTATAGAGATTAATTTGTTCAAGGTCACCATTAATAGTAAATGGTAAACCCGGATTTGACCCCAGGCAGTCTGACTTCAGAGAGTATGCTTTTTTTTTTTCTTTTTTTGCGGTACGCGGGCCTCTCACTGTTGTGGCCTCTCCCGTTGCAGACGGAGCACAGGCTCCGGACGCGCAGGCCCAGCGGCTATGGCTCACGGGCCCAGCCGCTCCGCGGCACGTGGGATCTTCCCGGACCGGGGCACGAACCCGTGTCCCCTGCATCGGCAGGCAGACTTTCAACCACTGCGCCACCAGGGAAGCCCGAGAGTATGCTTTTAATGGCCGTTATATAAGGTCTGCTAGTTGTTATATTTTTCTTTTCTACAGTTAAGCAGATCCCTTTTCTCCTTCAATTTCTTTTGGAAAGATGCTGAGCTTTTTAAAAATGTGTTTCTGTGGAAGATCTCTAGCAATTGTATGGAAAGCTATCAACAACTGCTACAGAGGGTAGCCAACAAAATTATGCTAGGACAATGACAGCCACAAATACAGTCATTTGCAAATCATAATTTTGATCACAGTCATAATTTTGAATAAAGAGAACAAAGCATAATATTATTTTTAGGGTTATTTAATTCTTTCTTCTTTCCCTTCACCTAGTGCCGATCATTCAGTGCAATCAACAGCTGGGGGAATTAAATGCTTTCTTCTTTGGAGACTGTAATACCCTAAAATCCAATTAGCTTAAACCAATTAAAATGCTGTTTTTAAAGCCAAGGCATTTCCAGGAGGTTGCTGTTAACTGTGGAGCATTTTTCAAAATCATGCAAAGAAGAAAAGAAATGCCTATATCAGAGTATATTTGTGAACTCCAGAGCTCCACCTACGTGCACATAATGTCAATTTTTGGATCAGAAGTTCTCACAGTGTGGTGCCTGGACCAGCAGTATCAGCATCACCTGGGAACTTGTTAGAAAAGACGATTCTACGGCCCACCCCACACCTACTGTCTCAGAAACCCATGGGCGTGGAGCCCTGCAAAGGGTGGTTGAACATGACCTCCAGGTGATTCCAATGCATGCTAAAGCTTGAGAACTGCTATTATAGTCATTGTGGTACCAAAATAACTGCAACTCAGACTTACAGGTGTAACTGTCCTGTTTATCATTCCTCTAGTTAAATACTAAGAAATACCTGCAGTTTACAAGCATTATTTATATGTTTTCCCATATTACAGTTTTGCCTGTCATGAAATTAGATGTAAATTTTTTTAAAAAGTGTTGTTCGAAAAGAAGGCTGATCTTTACTATGTGTTATAGTCTGTATTTCATTCTCAGTCCTAAATCAGCATGTCTGGGCACGCTGCTGAGTTGCTAAAAAGTCTCAGAACCTTTAGATGTATACTACTCTCAGCTTGAAAAGTGCCTCTGTTTACATTCACTACCTTCTTATATTTTATAACATTTACTTTATGCTTCCTTGGGCAACAAGGAAGATAATATTTGAATCAGTAATAACATAAAGCTTTTCTATCAATGTGGAAAATAGCACTTACCTAAATAGTAACTGTACTATCAAAATAAAATTTCATTTGCACAGTAAGATTCTATTTACACTTGCTGTTTTAGGCAGAAAAGAAAATATGAACTGTAAGTCTAGAATCCTGAGAGAGAGATTTTCCTCTTCTTCCTGATATATGGTACGCTTTGCATCCTGTGATTCATAATCCACTTGGGTCATGAAACATTGATGAAGGGAAGCCAGTGACAGTAATGGAGTCCTGTTAGGTCAGGCTTCACAGGAAAGGCAGATCATATTTCACTGGTGAAAAGTGCCTCTAATAAAAGGAGGTGCCTTGGGAAGAAATATTAGTGCTTTCTCTTTCTTCTCCTAGTGTCATTCATGACATTATTATATAAATGCACAAAGTTTATTTCTTACTATGTGGCCACATGTTTAAAAATTTATTTGTTTATTTCATTCATGAAGGAACCAGCAGGAAGACAAAAGAGTTGGTCCCAAAAGCAAAGGATTAAGGAACAGAGATGTATATAGCCAGTTGGGAAAGAAATGCCAAAAGAAGTTTACCAAGTTAGATGTAAGACTGATTAGCTTTCTACATGACAGTAAAGTCCTGTCATCTTTGGGGTTAACTTCTCTTCCAGGCTGTAACACCCTAACAAGCTGTCAGTTCTAAAGGGTTATAAATCATCTGCACCTTTATATTTGTTAATCAAATATACTGTCACCCAAGAGCGTCAGATGAGGGTTGAAGTGGGCTGAATGGTGGCCCCCCAAAAGATATGTTTACATTCTGATCTCTGGAACCTGTATCAATCTCCCCCTTCCTGCCTCGATTGTCTGGGTTAGAATAAGGTAGTAGCTTCCACAGGGCCCAGAGAATAAGGGAGGATGCTTGTTCGTGATGGCCACTGGGCCTGGCCCACCAGAGAGCAAGGCACTGATGCCAGGGCAGGCCCTGACCAGCCCTCATGGCCCTCCCGTTTCGGACCACAGGCGCTGCTCCAGAGGTCTCAACCCTGAGCTGCTCACAGGCCTTGCTCTTTACTAGGCACCCCACCTGGGCATCCTGCAGCCACTCCCCACCCCCAGAACTAGGGCTTGCTAGCACAGAGCTCTGCCACTCCAGGCATCGGACAAAAAATCAAGTCCCTCCCAATCTCCTATAAACCCTCTTTAGACTCCAGACTGGCCAGGAGACCTTGAGAGAAATATCTTTAATTCAGTCATTCATATATTCCCTGACAGCATATTTTCAACCAATATTTGCTGATTATTTATGGAGCACCAGCTATTTGCAGGAGATGCCAGGGATACAGCAGGGAATAAATATATCAAGGAGGAGAAAACATATATTAATGTTCAAATAAATTAACCTTTCACAGTCATTAAAGCAAAATGCAGTCTAAGACTGTTATTTATGCTCAGAAATTTTCCTATTACTTTATTTTTATTTTCAGCCCACACTCTTTGAGACGGCTTCTTGGCTAACACCCTCAACCATGCATGGAACTCCAAGGGACAGCTTTTCTATGTTTTGCATCTTCCTAAAATGGCCAGTTGAGCACAGCCTCCTGTGAGAGGCAGTGCGTCCAGTGGTTAGGCACATGGCCCAGAAGCACCAGCCCTACCACTTAACTAGCTGTGAGACTAGGGGCAGGTTTTAGTTAATTACTTAATTGCTCTCTGTGCCTCAAAGTCCCGGAGTTAATGGTAGGACCCACCTCAGGCTGCTGAAAAGACAACATGAGTTGTAGTAAGTAAAGGACTTGAAGCAGCATCTGGCATTTAGTGAGCCCTGGTGTTCCCACTGTATAATCATTAAAGAAGGGGGTTCCTCCTGAGGACCAGGGATGGTGGAGAAAGAATGAAAAGCAGCTGAGCGGAATAGATGGTAAGTGCTGGGTGAAGAGCAAAGTTTCACTGTAGTTTTGGTTCTCAAACATGACTGCTCTTCAAAATCACCACAGGAGCTTTTCAAACTTAATTTAATTTTCAAACTTAATTTAATTCCTGGGCCCCACCTTCAGAGGTCACTTCATTGGTCTGGGGTGGGACCCAAGCCTGTTCAAGTAATTCCCATAGAAGTGGAGGTTGAGCATCCCTGCAGGACAGCAATGTACCATCTGGCCGAGGAGCCACGCCTGCCCTGCAATGAAAGGGGGCGGGGGACTCCACTCCGAGCCTCTCTCCTCCTTCTCCCCAGACCCAGCTGCCTTAGCAGTGCAATCCCTCCTCCCGCAGTCCATCCACAGGCATCCTTGGGGCATGCATCACTTGTCAGGCCCTGGGCTTGGGATGGGGCAGTACAAAAGTTATCAGACAAAATCTTATCCACGTGGACCTCACAGCAGAGAAAGTAGAGAAGAAAGCAAGCAGTTACGTGGAGAAAACTCAAAACACTCTGAATGCTCATAGAGCTCTAATCGAAGTACCGTATATACTTACTAGGAAATCCCTGGGGAAAGACTGAGGTAGATCTGTAAGTACAAAATGTGGAGACTCTCCAAGGTACATTGTTGAGTAGAAAAAGGTAAACCACAGAACAGCATACCATTCATGTTTCAAAAAGCTTTTTGAAAGACGTTGCGATATTCTATCTATGGGTGCGTAAATATATGTAACTTCAAAGAAAAACGGTCTCGAATTACACCTCTTATTTTCCATGATTAATTTTTTTTCAAAAAGAATGTATTCATTGTTTGTGAAATTTAAAATAATAACATTTTTTAAATTCCAGCAAACTCTTTGTGGGGAGGGTCTTCTGGAAATATTTGCATTTAGCTAAGTTAAGATGTATATCACATTGCCTGTTAATTGTGACATAGCAGTTGGCATTACCAGACATGATTTTATCTAAGTGACTATTATTGAGCAGAGAGCAATGTCCTGAGGAAATGGGACGTGAGACAGATGTGTGCCAGTAGAGATAAGGCAAAGGAAAGAGAATTCGGCACGAAGCTCAGCTGAGTATAAGGAGAAAGACCTAGCAGCTACCTTCCCTGTCTGCAACTTTCACAGTTTCACCTGAGGCTGGTCCTCCTAACAAGCTGAAAGCTCGAACATCAGCTTCCAGGTCTAGCCTACTAATAGAGATTCTCCATCTTAGCTGCATATTAGAATCACATGGGGAGACTTACTAAAATATCAATGCCTTGAACCAAGACCAATGAAAAGTAAGGTCTTTGGGAGGTTGGGCCTGGGCGTTGTTTTTAATACGACCAGGGCTGAGACTCACTGCTCGAAGACACGTGCACGCACCCTCCCAGTTTGGACACCCTCATGCTTGCAAAGTACTCCAAAAATGGCATCAGTTGAAGGTGCTTCTTAAACTCTAGGGGACTATGGGAAAAGGAAAAATATTTGCATTTTTGTATTATGTGATTCCGAAATGATAACACCATGTGTTTGGTTTATTTCAGGCTCGACTGACCAAAGAACAACGCTGGGGAAGTGCATTACTTTCCAGAAACCACTCCTTAGAAGAGGAATTTGAAAGGGCAAAAGCAGCAGTGGAGGTAAGTTTTTTGGTTTGTTTTTCTGTTTTATGTTTCTGAGAGTGGAATTCAAAAAAATCAAACTTCAGCAGGATACATATTAAATGGGTCTTTATAGACATGAAATAATCATGACTATGATTGTTGGAATGAGACATATTACCAGAGAACTTTTTTTTTTTTTTTTCTGGTACGCGGGCCTCTCACCGTTATGGCCTCTCCCGTTGCGGAGCACAGGCTCCGGACGCGCAGGCTCAGCGGCCATGGCTCACGGGCCCAGCCGCTCTGCGGCATGTGGGATCTTCCCGGACCGGGGCACGAACCCGTGTCCCCTGCATTGGCAGGTGGACTCCCAACCACTGCGCCACCAGGGCAGGCCACCAGAGAACTTTTGACTTCCCACCCAGGGTGACTAATAGATGTCACCTCTTATGCCAATTCTGTGGTAGATTAGTAGTGACTTCTGGAGTCTTGGGTCAGAAAACTCTGAGTCTTGCATGTATCCCATGATGAACTTATTGCTATGCATTTGCTATGCTTCTGTGAAGCCAGGGTTCATGCCTGATGTTTTTATCTCTCTGGCATCTAGCACAATGTCTGAAACATAGACGGTTTTACTACCCCTGAAATAGTATATATTTTCCTAACTGGGTGGGGGAAGAAGGCAGGGCTGAGATATTCTAATCAATGGATAGCCCATCTTGACTTGAGCCATAATTTATTTTACTGTTAAGGGTGTCCAAAACAATGACAATGTTGATAAATCAAATGAAACATTTAATTTGAACATTACTTTCCTTATTTAGCCTTCTAAAGAGAGAGAGAGGGAGAGAGAAGGAGGAAAGAAAGGGAAAAGGGAAGCCAAAAAAAAAGCATCCTTTGCTGTTTTTTATGCATTTCCTTCCTGGGTAAAAGTGCAAAGAGTGCATCACAGGTGCCATCTATGATTCTCACCAAAGCTTTGCTAGAAGACTATTTGAGAGTTGAGCTTTTCACCCAACCCAAGTATGAACTTGCCGGGACCTCTATTTCTATTACTGATGTGAAATCTTGAAACTTGAAAGTATTCCTGTAATATGGTTCATTTATGTGGCCATCTTACCTCTAGAATTTGGATGAAATTACTATACTACGGGCAGTCTTTCAGTAACTCCATACTTGAAGTGCAATTAAATCATACTTGCAATTTAATATTAAAAAGATTCTTTATATTCTAGGAAATAATTCCAGCCAAATTTCCTATCATCATTCAGAAACCTAATAAGAGAACACTTTTATCTCATCACAATACAATCCACCCAAATTTCTTCTTTTAATTTTAACCTTTTTAATTAAAAGTTAAGGCATATTTAGTGCTCTTGAACGTGATCAACTGATAGATTTGATTGAGACCAGCTGCGTTCAATTAAGTTCAACTGCATGGGGCCTGTAGCTCAGTTTATCTTAAACGTAGATTTTTCCAGACTTAAGAGCTAATTTAAGTTTCTTTTGAGCTCCTACTGTGTATAGGACACTGAATTAGCATTAAAAAGAAGATGATTTAGAACCATAGAATCTTGGGGCAGTAAAGACTTTATAATTTATCTGGTCCCATTTATTTTTATTTTTTTTTAACATCTTTATTGGAGTATGATTCCTTTACAGTGGTATGTTACTTTCTCTGGACCCATTTATAATGAGACAATGAGTTCAAACTCAAGACTTAATTACAAAGACTTAGTTACAAAGTAACATATCAACAAGGAAAAAATTGTCCATCTGTGTATCTATCTATTCATAAAGTCACTTAATCTTAGTTTTGGTAGAGACCTTAGAAGTCATCTATCCCAACCAGGCATACAAAACAATTTTTTTTCTTTTCAAACATACCCTGTTTCTACTTGAACATTTTCAATTAAGGGCAACTCACTTTTCAAGAAAACCTGTTTCGGTTTTGGACAGTCCTAACAATTAAAGAAGCTCTTCCCTGAATTAGGCTGAAATTGGCCTACAAGCAACTACCAGTTTTCTTACCCCTGGCTTTGCCCTCTCTGGAACAAGGCAAAATTAGGTGAATCCCTTCTCTACATGACGCTCATTCACCCCAGGAAGCCTTGTTTTCTCCTGGCTTCTCCTTGTCTCTTTGGAATTGAGAGACCAGAGTTGTTATTCCAACTTGTTGCTAATAACTAAATAACAACAAACATCTCATTAACCAATATAAGTCTCATTTTTCCACACCTCTATGGTCCTTTCCAGCTGCAAAATCCTAAAATGCTGTAAGTTACTAGAAGTAGTCATTCAGCAAACATTTGTGCTGGCTGCTGAACTAGGTACAAGAGATAAAGGAATGAGCTAGCTTTGAGTAGTTATCTAACAATGGCATGGACCAGATGACTGACTCAGACAAGACATTTGCTCCCTTCTACTTTAGTTTCTTCATTATAAGATGAGGGGCTTGGATGTCTAATATACTAAGAATGCTATACATTTGTATCTTCAAGTGAAGTGAATGGTAAGTACAGAATTCCCAGCAAAGCAGAAAATTGTAAGCACATTTGCTCAGCTGGAAGCCTGGAACTGAGAAGCTTCCTTAAGGAATGAGGGAGGAGGATGCTGACGGGAAGGTGTGAACAGGTGTGGAGAAAATAGGCGCGAGGCATGGGGGCGGGGGTTGTGTTTCACTAAGCTGATGGTATATCAGACCTTCAAAACTGCACACACATGTGAACTACTTACTTCCCAGCGTTACTCTTATCCAGGGTTTAATCTAAATCCATAGTAGAAGACATAATAAAACGGATCCGAGTCTTGGAAATATACATGTCCCTTGACCCAGCCACTTCTCAGAATTTATGCTAGAGAAATAATCGTGAAAGTTTGCAACATTTTATCTGTAGAATTTTTTTAAATAGTGAAAATTTGGGAACAGCTCAAGTGTCCCATTACAGAGAATTAACTAAGTTAATATCTCTACAATAAAATGCTATGTAACCATTAAAAAGTACATCATAGAAAAATATTTAACATCGTGTAAAAATGTCTAGTGATAATTGGAATAATTTATATACTGAGTTTTACAATATGATCCCAACTTCGTAAAATGATAGTAGCTTAATACCTAACAGGTTAGAATACATACTGTGTGCCAGGCACTCCCTCGGGAGCTTTGCGTGGATTCTCATTTAATCCTCCCAGCAGTCTTATGAGGAAGGTAATATTACTATTTTCATTCTGCAGATGAGAAAACTGAGGCTTAAAGATATTGCAGACAGTTACGTGGCATTTTATAAGCAATTAAGATAGACTGAAAATGAACAACTCTCATTTAGCAAGTTACAAAGTCATGATTTTCACCCAGACTCCAGAGCCCATATTCTGAAGCACTGCACTGTATAAGCATAAAGAGAGTCTGTGCCCTAACCTTAACAGTAGTTATCCTTGGGTGGCTGGATTTGGAGTGATTTCTTCCATTAGCTATCTATATTTTCCAAATGTTCTATCATAAACATGTATTACGTTGGTAATCAAGGAAGAAGTGGTAAACTATAGACACTATTAGAGTCTAAGATTCTTAAGAGAACTAAAAGCGCCACATTCTTCATTTCAAGACCAATAAAGAATGGCACCACAGACTGGCTTCATCAGAGACTGTTCCAAACACTAGTAAGACCCACATGAAAGCCATGCCTGGAGCAAGTTGAATTTTTCCAAAGTCTCCATTTTTATATCACTGATGCCAATATTCCTTCTATTTCACATTCTATTCCATTCTTAAACCCTCATATTTTTTGGTCATCATCCTGCCTCATGACTTGGCACCTGGTCCTCCTTCTGCGCCTAATCCCCTCACAAGCTCCAGGGGCACTGCTCTGCTCTCTATTCCTCTTGCACAACAGCCTCATTGCCTGCTGTCCCCACTCTGTCTTTTTTTTTTTTAAACAGTTATTATTTTATTTGACAGATGTTTAAACAGAGGTGAGCATAGGGACTGATTTATTTTTTAACATCTTTATTGGAGTATAATTGCTTTACAATGGTGTGTTAGTTTCTGCTTTACAACAAAGTGAATCAGTTATACATATATCGCATATCTTTTCCTTCTTGCGTCTCCCTCCCTCCTACCCTCCCTATTCCACCCCCTAGGTGGTCACAAAGCGCCAAGCTGATCTCCCTGTGCTATGTGGCTGCTTCCCACTAGCTATCTATTTTACATTTGGTAGTATATATATGTCCATGCCACTCTCTCACTTTGTCACAGCTTACCCTTCCCCCTCCCCATATCCGGAAGTCCATTCTCTAGTAGGTCTGTGTCTTTATTCCCGTCTTGCCCCTAAGTTCTTCAAGACCATTTTTTTTTCTTTTTTTAGATTCCATATATATGTGTTAGCATATGGTATTTGTTTTCCTCTTTCTGACTTACTTCACTCTGTATGACATTCTCTAGGTCCATCCACCTCACTACAAATAACTCAATTTCGTTTCTTCTTATGGCTGAGTAATATTCCATTGTATGTGTGTGCCACATCTTCTTTATCAATTCATCTGTCGATGGACACTTAGGTTGCTTCCATGTCCTTGCTATTGTATATAGAGCTGCAATGAACATTGTGGTACATGACTCTTTTTGAATTATGGTTTTCTCAGGGTATATGCCCAGTAGTGGGATTGCTGGGTCATATGGTAGTTCTATTTTTAGTTTTCTAAGGAACCTCCATACTGTTCTCCATAGTGGCTGTATCAATTTACATTCCCACCAACAATGCAAGAGGGTTCCTTTTTCTCCACACCCTCTCCAGCATTTATTGTTTGTAGATTTTTTGATGATGGCCATTCTGACTGGTATGAGATGATATCTCATTGTAGTTTTGATTTGCATTTCTCTAATGATTAATGATGTTGAGCATTCTTTCATGTGTTTGTTGGCAATCTGTATATCTTCTTTGGAGAAATGTCTATTTAGGTCTTCTGCCCATTTTTGGATTGGGTTGTTTGTTTTTTTGATATTGAGCTACATGAGCTGCTTGTAAATTTTGGAGATT